ATTTCAAAATGTAGAATAGATAAACAAGATTATACTGTATAGCACAAGGAAATATATACAAGATCTTGTGGTAGCTCACAGTGAAAAAAAATGTGACAGTGTTCATGTATAACTGAAAAATTGTGTTCTACACTGGAATTTGACATTGTAAAATGACTATAACTCAAAACATGAAAAAAAATTAGAGATTTTTAAAAACACATTACTGTGGATACTACTGAAGAGAAGGGAAACAAGGATGTTCAAGACTGACAGCTGTTAATAATAAGATTACTATAAACTTGAAATCACACACACACAGAAAGGAGTTATCTCTATGCAACTTGTGTAGACCTGGGTACTAGAGGTGAGAAAGAAAAGGTAGGCAAATCTGAGAGATACCTAGAAGCTTAAACAGATAATCCTTGGTCACAGAGGGGGTGTGGGAAGTTAGGGAGATTGTGGTACATTGACTCCTAAGTTGTTGGCTCGCCTAACTCAACAGGAAATAAGTACTGTGACAGAAAGAGTTAAGGTAGTTGGGTCTGAAGGGAAGTTTCTGAATTCTACTTTGAGCAAGCTGAGTTTTATGCTTCAGAGTTTTATGTTGAAATATCAGTAAGCAGTTGGGAATGAATGTTCAGGAGTGGCCTATGCTGGTAAAATGTATCTGGGGTCTTGGGGTAATATGATAATTGAAGCTATAGTTATGGGTGACTTAGCACTGCGGGGATTTTTTTTTCCATTTTGTTTTTAAGTCAATCCCTTACTTGAAGTGATGAGGCCGAGAGAAGAATGTCTAATAAGCTTGTGATCAGATGCAACTTCATTTTTTCCCATAGGTGTTTTGAAGAGCTATAACTCTTTCTCATACAATAAAGGTTGGGAACAGGACAAAGGCAATTAAGATTGTTTTACATATTTTAAAATATCATTGTCCTATGCTTATGCTAAAATTTGATTACCTCATCTATGGAATATGGGTAGGCAGCAAGATCTTTCTGCCACAGAATATGTGGAGACTGGGTTTAATTCCAGGCCCTGCTAATGCGCTTTGTTACCTTTAAAAAGCTCTCTGTGAAGAATAAATGGCATACTGTATGTAAAAATGTTGTTTAGTAAGTGATATACAATGTTAGCTATTGTTATTATTTCTGGTGTGACTAGCTCTGTAGGTACTTGAAAAGTAGTTCAATTTTTATAAATGTCGCAAGTCTACTTAGATTCAAAATTATTGCTCCAGAGATAAAAGCTATTCTTTTAAATGAATGAGTATTGCTTTTCCATAGCTATATTGAAGTATAACTTTATATATTGCTTTCCTATTTCATATTACATTCTAGACCCATATTTTCCCATAATTCTCATAGCTATCAATTTTATTGGTTGTATAAAATGACAAAATGACTGTTTTGTAAATTTGCTGCTACTTTAGTAATTTTTATGAGTGAAGAAGAGAACCCACCCCTTTTTCTTTGATTCATGCGTTACTGAATTCTTCTAAAATTTCAGAAAAGAAACTTTAAATGGTGTATAATCTAATAAAATTTTGAATCACTATGTTGTACACCTAAAACT